AGTCATCAAAAGTGAATGTGGATAGAAATCTTAAGTCTAATTGCTATCTTAGTACTGTTAATTATTCTATTGCCATGCTTCCATCTTTGCCAGACTCTTGGCCCAGAGAGCAATTTATCTTGTCCCTGCTTAGTATAAAGATGTTGTCTTTTACATTGCTGTTGTCATTTCCTGTGTCCATACAAAAAGAGGAGCAACCTGTGGAAGGGTGCCCACATTGCATGCATACCACTTGGACTGGACACTTTAAAATGGTTAAAACTTTACTTACCAGACATACTATGAATGTACAGGAATCCAGTTAGGAATCTGTATTTATAACCAGACAGTCTATTCAGTATGCAACCTGGGAGATAACCAGCTTCATGGGCGTTATGACCCCAAGTCTGTACCTGGGACCCGGTTTGATGTCCGAATTGGGTCAACAGAAGGGGGCCTCCTAAACCAGACTAAAGTCCCTCTTTCTCACAGAGGAGCTGCATCCCTATATTTTGACATTTGTCAGTTGACATCCATAGGCTGCATCTTTTGAAACAACGTCTCTGCTGAAAAGTTCTATACTGACTGCAACTCTTGCACGTCTCCTGGTTGCTCCCGCAAATGCCAGCATTGTACAACATGGCTCAACCACTGACCATGAGAATCTATCACAGTTGCCAATATACCATGGAATCTGGAACGCAAAGAAAACATTTGCAATCCTATTGTAAATGTTACCATAGTAAGACCCAACCTGCCCATATGGACTGCAGGTCTGATAGCACCAATAGGAACAGTATTAAAAGGTTACGTAAATATATATATCATAAAAAAGGAAGCTCAAACCTATCCACCTCGACACCAGTTTCAAGTTTTTAAGTCTTTCTATAAAAGGTATAAGGAGACTAACCAAGAAGTACTTGAACCTCCTCCAATAGCTAGTAACCTATTTACTCAACTAGCCAAAAATATGGCCAGCAACCTGGGGGCTTCCTCATGTTATGTCTGTGGAGGTGTTAATATGGAAGATCAATGGCCATGGGAAGCAAAGGAGTTAACGTCCCAAGAGAACTTCACCTTAATCATCACCTCCCCTGAGCCAACGCTCAAACACTCAAGCATTTGTCTCCTAAACACTTCTATTGTGGGGAGGTATTACATAGCTCACTGGGGAAAATCCTTCCCTAACCCAGTATGAGAAACGGCTTGCTTAGGACAATATTACAATAAAACAGTAGGAAAAACTTTATGGGGAGGCAAACATAAGCAAGGTAAGAATACCACCAGGTTGCCACGCTATAACCCATTTTCTCACTTTCCATCTTTAAATCACTGCTGGTACTAGCTTGAAGCACCCAATAACTGGCAGGCACCTCTGGCCTTTATTGGATTTGTGGACAGTGGGCTTATCAGCAGTTACCAACCAATTGGACGGGGGCTTGCATTCTAGGAACAATCAGACCGTCCTTCTTCTTACTTGCACTGCAACTAGGAGGAACTTTAGGATATCCTGTTTACGATGAAGTTAAAGATAGAAACAAGAGAAATGTAAACATTAAAGACATAAAAATACAAGACTGGAAAGACGCTGATTAGCCTCATGAAACAATCATTCAGAGTTATGGGCCAGCTACTTGGGCACCAGATGACTCATGGGGCTACCGTATCCCTATTTATATGTTCAACCACATTATAAGAGTGCAAGCAGTACTTGAAATTATTGCTGATGAAACTGAAAATGCCCTAGATCTGTCAGTTCAACAATCCATGAAAATGAGAAATGCTGTTTACCAGAATAGGCTAGCTTTAGACTACCTCCTTGCACAAGAAGGAGTACGTGGAAAATTCCACTTAACTAATTGCTGCCTATAAATTGATGATAATGGAAAAGCTGTCATGGAGATAAATGCAAAAATGTGAAAGTTAGCTCATGTCCCAGTTCAAACTTAAAAATCTGGATGGTCTCCAGACTCCTTCTTTGGAGGCTGGTTCTCATCCTTTGGTAGATTTAAAACTCTAAGGGATTTGTGCTTTTTCTAGGTGTTTATCTAATACTTCCATGCGTCTTGCCCCTTCTGTTTAAAAGTATATAGTCAACCATAGAAACAGTGGTAGCCCAGCATACTACTCCCCAAATAATGGCCTTAACTAAGTATCAATCTGTGCCTCATGAAGAAAACTTACCACCACACGATGAATTACACAGAGGCAATGGTCTCATTGAGCTTATGTAAATCTTGTCTTGAGCTTAAACTAAAACAGGAACCAGAGTGACTGGGAAAAACAGATCAGATTGTTCCAGCAGCACTTCAATAGCCATTACACAAAGGGCTAAGGTGGTGTCTTTCCTTGCAAGTAAGTCATCTGCCAAGGTGATTTAGAGGTGTACTAAGGTGAAGCTCTCAAAGGCCTGCTGCTTAACCTGGGGAAAAACCCACCTAGTCATGATCATCATGACACCCTCCTCAGGAGATGGCTGGTTAGCCAATGATGGGTAAGATTCCTCAAGGAAGGAACAACCTAATACAGGCATAGTCGCAGAAGGCCATCAGGAGCTAAGACAAGAAAAGGCCCTAGCTCCACGCCTGACTGCATGAACTACAGCATAACAGCCTCAGAGCATGCCTACTCTGTTAGTGATCTCAGAGTGGCTAAGAACAGCACTTGGCCCAAGGAATTAAAGTGCAACCTACATAAAGGGTAATGAAAACATCTGTCCTACCCTGATACTCTTTCCTGCAGAGGGTTTAGTAACATTTTCAAAAAGCCATTTATAAAGAGTGGTGTGTTCTATTAAAAGTACTACTTGAATATAAAATGAACCAAAGGAGGGAATGAAGAGGGAAGAAAAAATTAATGAAATGACATAATATGAAATTAAAATAACTCTAGCAAGCAAGAAATTGTGTATAAAAGGCCCCCCGGAGCCTAAGTTAAGGAGAAATATTAACTGCCTCTCCTCCCTTCTCAGAATGTTAACCTTATCTATTCTCAACATTCCTTAAGAGTTTTGTAAGTCTCTGTTTTCCTTGTGGAACAGCTGCAAGGCCACCGCACAGATAAGTTGCAAGCATGTTTTTGGAGACGTAAGACATGCCATAAGACATGACAGGGATGATTAACTGCCTTTGTGCCCATTTCTGTAAAACTTACTTCCTGCTTTGTATTTTCGTGCCCTGAAAGCCTAAAAGAAAGTCTGTCTCTTTTGTCTAATGCTCAGCCATTTTGGACATGAGTCCGAGCTGGGCCAGTGTACAGCTAAAATAAATCTTTCTGCAACCTCGACAGTCTCTGAATCCCATTACATTTCAACTAAAAAGCTAATACAGAAAGAAAAGGAGGTCAGGTGTGGTGGCTCATGCCTGTAACCTCGGCACTTTGGGAGACCATAGCAGGCAGATCACTTGAGATCAGGAATTTGAGACCAGCCTGGTCAATATGGTGAAACCTCACCTCTATTGAAAACACAAAAAATGTTAGTTGGGTATGGTGGCTTGCACTTATAGTCCCAGCTACTTGAAAGGTTGAGGAAAGAGAATTGCTTGAATCTGGGAGCGGAGGTTGCTCTGAGCTGAGGTTGCACCACTGCGTTTCAGCCTGGGTGACAGAGAGAGACTCCATCTCAAAAATAAATAAATAAAAAGAAATAAAACATCTGCTTAATTAAAAAACAAGCAGGTGTAGAATAAATGGACAGAAAAAAACGCAAAATATTATATTTAAATCAAATTTTATTATTAATTACACGAAGTAGACCAAATATCTCAATTAAAATACAAAGATTGTCAGATTGGATTTAAGTATTAGAAAGGCAAAGTTTAGCTGATTGTGAAGGATGGAAAGGATATTACTGTAGCTGATGTTGCTAGGAAAGAGAAAGATGGACATTTCATAATTAAGATTTATACAATGGGAAGATATAACAAGCCTAAATTTGTGTGCATCTAATAATATAGCATCACAAATATATAAAGCAAATATTGACACAACTAAAAAAAGAGACAGATCCATAATCAGAGTTAGAATTTACTGCATCTATCTCAATAAATGATAGAAAAAATAGGAAAGAAAAAAATTAGTAAGCACGTAGAAGATTTGAACAACAAAATTAAGCAAATTGACTTAATTTGTGTATATATAAGACCCTCTACTCAAACACATTAGAATACACATTCTTTTCAAGGCACATGGAGCATTTAATAAAATAGGCCACACATTAGTGTACACAGTAGATATCAACAAACAAATTTTAAAAAATTGAAAGCATATATACCATTTTATGTAGTATTAAATTAGAACTCATTAAAAGATAAGTAACACATGTATAGATCAAAAAAGAAATCAAAATTAAAATTAGTATATATTTCGAATGAAATAATAATGAAAATATGACACAAAAATTGCGGATTACAGTTAAAGTAGTACTTAGAGTAAAACTTACATCTTTAAATACATATATTAAAAATAAGAAAGGTTGAAAATCAATAATTTAAACTTCTAACTTAGGAAGCTAGGAAGAGAGAAAAATCAACACTTAAAAAGTAGAAAGAAGAAAATAAAAATAAGCATCGAAATAAATGAAATAGAAGGTAAACATACAATAAAAATCAACAAAGCTAATTTTTTTAAAAAGAATTTAATTGTTAAACTCCTAGAAAGACCCACGAAGGGAAAAACAGTAAATGACTCGTACCAGGAATGAACTAGTAAACTATTCTAAATATTTAAGAAAGAATATGAATCTTAAATACACTTTTTCAGAAGATGGAGAGAAGTAAACACTTCTCAATATTGCATTAGACAAATATATTCTTGGTATCAAAATATAACAAGGACATCACAAGAAAAGGAAAGTAAAAAGCCAATATCACTCTTAAGCATAGATACAAAAATCCTAAACATGATATTAACAAATCAAATCCACCAATAGAGAAGAGGCATAATACATTAAGACTAAGACTAAGTGGGATTGGTTTTGCCAGGTTGGGATTGAAAAATCAACCCATGTCATCAACCATATTATCTGGCTTGGCTCTGTGTCCCCACCCAAATCTCATGTTGAATTATGATCTTCAGTGTTGGAGGGCGGGCCTGCTGGAAGGTGATTGGATTATGGAGTTGAATATCCCCCTTGCTGTTCTCATGTCAGTGAGTTCTTTACAGCAGTGTGAGACTGGACTAATAAAGATAATTGGTACCAGAGAAGTGGGGCATTGCTATAAAGATACCAGAAAATATGGAAGCAGCTTTGGAACTGGGTAATGGGCAGACATTGGAATAGTTTGGAGGGCTCAGAAAAGACAGAGATGAGGGAGAGTTTGGAATTTCCTAGTGCTGATTGTGATATTGATAGTGAAGTCCAGACTGAAGTGGTCTCACACGGAGATGAACTTATTGGGAACTTAAGCAAAGGTTACTCCTGATCTGTTCAGTGTTGTCAATGAAGTGTCGAAGTCCCTCACTACTCTTATATTGCTCTTTATCTCTTTCATTAAGTCTAGTCTTGTTTTGTTTTATAATTCTGGGTGTTCTCACATTGGATGCATACATAATTAGGACTGAAATATCTTCCCATTGAATTGATCCCTTTTATGTCATGACTTTCTTTGTCTTGCTTTTTACTGTTATTGGCTTAAAGTCTGTTTTGTCTGATATAAATATAGAACACTCCTGCACAGCTTTGGTTTCTATTTGTGTGAAATATCTTTTTCCATCCCTTTCCCTTGCATCTATATATCTTTACTAGCTAGAATAGGTTTCTTGTAAGCACCATATAGTAGGATCTTGTTTTTTATCTATTCCACCAGCCTATATCTTTTAAGTGGAGGATTTAGTTCATTTACATTCAAGGTTACTATTGTTATGTGAGGTCTTGTTCCCATTATAATGTTAATTGTTTCCTAGTTGCTTTGTAGTCTCAATAATGTAATTGGTTCATAAGACCTGTGATTTTATGCTTTTGTGTATTGTTATGATGGTGAGGATCAGTATTGCCCTTTGGTTTTCATGTTTAAAACTTTGGGCATTTCTTGTAGAGAACCAGTTTGGTGGTGATCAATTTCCTTAGCATTTGCTTATCTGGGAAACACTATTTCTCCTTCATTTATGAAGCTTCATTTAGCAGGATACAACATTCCTGGCTTGCAGGTTTTTTCTTTGAGAAAAGTGAGAATAGGACCTCACTCTCTTCTGCCTTGTAAGATTTCTGCCTAGAATTCTGCTATTAGTCTGATGGGATTTCCTTTACAGGTTATTAGACACTTCTCTCTTTCTACTTTTAGTATTTTTTTTCATATTGACTTTGGACAGTCTGATCAGTCTGATGGCTATATGCGTTGATGAAGTTTATTTTGCAAAGTATCTTCCAGATGTTCTTTGATCTTCTTTTATCTTGAAGTCTAAATCTCTAGCAAGACCAGAGAAATGTTCCTGAATTATTCCCTGAAATAGGTTTTCCAAACTTTTTGTTTTTTTCTTCTCCCTTGGGAATACCTATAACTCACAGTTTTGGTCACTTTACATTGTACATTCTTTACATTCTTTTTTCTTTATTTTTGTCTTCAAACTTTAAAATTCTTTCTTCTGCATGGTCTAGTCTATTAATGCTTTCAACTGTGTTTTGTAATTCCTTCAATGAATTTTTCCTTTCCAGAAGTTCCAGAAGAATTTAAATATATCTCTCTCTAGCAAATTTTTATTTTATATTTTGAATTGTTTTGCTGATTTCTTTGCATAGATTTTCAACTTTCTTTTGGATCTTATTGAGCTTTCTTGCAATTCATATTTGAATTCTTTATCCATCACTTCAGAATTTTTATTTTAGTTAAGATCCATTGCTAGAGAGCTAGTGTGACTTTAGGGGTATTGAAATAGCCTGTTTTTTAATATAGCCAGAGTTCTTATGCTGGTGTCTTTTCACGTGGAGAAGCTGTCACTTCTTATTTTTGTATATGTTTTTGTTTGAACAGGACTTTTTCATTTCACCCTTTGAGAGTGTGACTGTGGCATATGTTGGGAGATTTCTTTGGCTTTGCTTCTGAGTGCTTTTAGGAGGTCAAGGTTCTGTATGAATTCTTTTATAAATAGCCCTAGTGGGGTGATTTTCTCAAATACTGGCTATTTGTAAGTTGCAGTAGCAGTGTACTGGGCATGTGAGCAAGCTCACTGCCTCTTGCAGAAATGGAGAGCTTTTTAGGAAGCTTATCTAATTCCTCAGAGCTGTGCACATCTGTCAGCAGGTGCTGTATTTGGTTGTATAGTTCCACTTCCCGTCCAGTAGGTGGTAATTTAGTAGTGCCAGGTGGAGTGGTAGCAGTGGGATTTATGCTTGCCCTTTGTTAATCAGGAGAAATATTCTGATATCTTGGGTGCTGAGTAGGGCTATGGGACTCCCAGGGATCCCCATCTAGTGTTTGACCACTGAGGCAAGTGGAGGGGGCAAAGCTGGGTGTAGCTGAGTCAAGCAAGCCCTTGGCCAGGCTCTCTAATAGCAGGTGCAAGCACGGACCCTGGCAGGGTTTGGCCCTCTAATGGCAGGTGCAAGATCTGAATCTGGAAGCGTTCAGAGTTCCGGTCACTGGAGCAACTTTCCAGGGAGGGATGGAGGTGCTTCTGCCATCCCAAAGAACCCCCATGGAGGACTGGGGAACTTTCCAGAATTCATAGCCAAGCAGGTGGTAGTGGGACTCACCCAGCTCCCATGCCCCCTACCAGATGGGTCTCCCTCCAGTGTCTGGTAGCCAGCAGCAGACCAGAACAGCTAGCCCAGTTACTAGCAGACTGCACTTAGATCATGAAGACGCCCCAGGCTGAAAGAATCCTTGCCTAGAGGCAGAAACTGTGGATCTCAGGCCATACTCTTTCCAGTTTGGTCCATGAAGGGAGGGGTGCCCAGTTCTCACACAACAGTGCAAACCATACCACACTCTATTCTCAGTTTTGACCATGAAAGCATCTCTCTGCTTAATGTCAATTCACATATCTCATCACCATGCCTATGCACAGTGTGCTTGAGTCCTAGGGAAATAGGGCTGGACCAGCAGACTTGTCCTCACACCCCCTGGACGCAAGCACTAGTTGTGATAGGGGCAGGCTGCTCCAGGTCCAGCAGAATACTCAGGCAGTGTGGCTGCACTGCAGCTCTGCTGACAGGAAAGGCAGGGCCCTCTCCATGGGAACAACCAAGTAGGCAGCTTTGGGGATGACCAGGAGGCATGGGGACATGGTCCCAATGTGCCTCAATCTCACAGCAAGCTGCAGCAGCAGGCAGCAGAACCATCCCTGGGATGTTTGGGAGCAACAGGCCTCCCGCCTCCCTCCCTGGGCTTATCCTTTATTTTCTCTTTTAATTCTTACAGTGACAACATAAGGCAGAATCTGTAATTTTTTTCCCATTACAGATGGTAAAACTGAAGCTTAGAGAGCTCAATTAACTTAACCAAGATCATGCAACCAGGAACAGGTAAGATAGGGATTGGAATCCAGGCTTTTAACCATGACTACTTTTAACCAATGCTGCTGGCTCCTTAGTTGGTACAGGAACCTTAGTAATAGTCTTTTAAATCTGAAACGCATTAATCCAGAAATGTTATGTCTATGTATATTATAAATGGGAAAGTGTATGGAAAGATGACAGAAATAGGGGCCAAAATATGTAGAATTTAAAATCTGCCTGGGTATAGCTAAAACCACTCAGAGAAGAAACACTTCAGCACCTGATAATAGATGGGCTTACAATATCCTGTTATACTTTCTTTCATGGAAGGCTGGTCCAGAGCCGCCAGACTTTTATGAGGACTGTGACACTTTACCAGTTATGTGACCTTGAGGAAGACAACCTCTCTAGGCCTCGGTTTTCTCCTTGGTAAAATCAGGGGACTGGAGGTAGTTATTTTTAAGTCCCTTTCAGCTGTTTCATCCGGTGACTTCATGATGTTAGAATTTATTCCATTTCTGCCATTTGAACTGTCTCTTTTTAACGCAGGCCTGGCTATATAGTCCTTTGAGCTGTCTAATCTAGTTTTCTGCCCACTACAGTCCAGATCTTCCAGAAACAATATCAGATGTGAACGTAACACTTACTTTTCTCATCTTTTTTTTTTTTGATACACATGGAATATCTCAGAAACAAATGCCCTTTAATGTAGGAGTGGTGGGCTGGGCATGGTGGCTCATACCTGTTATCCCAACACTTTGGGAGGCCAAGGTGGGTGGATTGTGAGGTTGAGCTGTTGAGATCATCCTAGCCAACATGGTAAAACTCCATCTCTCCTAAAAAAAATACAAAAAAATAGCCAGGTGTGGTGACCTATACCTGTATTCCCAGCTACTCGGGAGACTGAGGCAGGAGAATAGCTTGAACCTGGAAGGCAGATGTTGCTTTGTGCTAAGATCATGCCACTGCACTCTAGCCTGGTGACACAGCAAGACTCTGTCTAAAAGAAGAATAATAATAATATAGGAATTGTTGTACACCCATATTATGAAATAGTATATAGGTATTTAACCTAGGAAAATGGAACATTTGTATATAACAAATATATATATATATATCGAATTTAATCTTTTTTACCTTTATTTGTTATAAATATGTAACATACATAGAGAACAATTCATGATGAATTGTTAAATGAAAACTGTATGTTGCAGAATAATACTTATGGTAAAACTGATTTCTTTAAAGAAGGAAGGAAAGAACAGATAAAGATAATGATGAAGAAAGAGAGAGAACAAAAGGCATAGGGGAAAGGAAGTTAAGAAAGAATTATGTACGTGCGTCTGTGTCGATATGTGTGGGTTTTTGTGACCAAGAACCTGTTAAGTTTTTCTTTATGTGTTTCTTTATAGTTTGACTTTTTACAATACACACATATTTCTTTTGTAGTAAAATAAGACAAAAAAAATCTTATCTTCCAAAAAGATTTAGTTTCATATCATTTCCACAGAACACTGACCACCCCTCATCTTCCCTTTTCTCTTCTGTTACGTATTCTCCTCTCTTCCCCATAGAGAATCACTGCTTTCATGTATTTATCACCAGCTAAGCAGGTTTTTAGTTTTACTTAATAATAGCAAAATAAAATGTGCCCCCCACCACTTTTCCAAAAAGCACACTTTAATTTTATCGTGCTGTTTAATATGCTTTTTCAAAAAGTCCTATTAGAGACTGCCTACTGGCCCCTGACCCTGTTGAAAGCCCTCCTCAGGAGTGAACTCCCACTACAGGAAAGCAATTATCTGGTATTTTATGTTGCCAGCAAGTTATCACTCCTAAAGCACTGGGATCACCTGTATGTTTACATATTTCAAAGGAAAATGTCTCTAACATTTTTAGGAGAATGTGAAACTATCTTTTTTAATGTTTGACCCGCAAGGAAGCTCTGGGAATGTTATTACAATCCAAATCAAATCCTTTTGTGGTTCATGGAACAAAAGAGAGATGGGGGGAAAATAGAACAAAAGAAAAGCAGCCCATTATTGTTTTTTTCAACAACGGTTTTGATATGTTAAAATATGCGAGGGGCCGGGTTCGGTGGCTTGCACCTATAATCCCAGCACTTTGGGAGGCCTAAGCCGGTAGATGACCTGATGTCAGGAAGCCGAGACCAGCCTAGCCAACATGAGGAAACTACATCTCCACTAAATAATGCTAAAAAATTAGCTGGGCGAAGTGGCGCATGCCTATAATCCAAGCTACTCAGGAGGTTGAAACAGGAGACTCACTTGAACCTTGGAGGTGGAGGTTGCAGTGAGCCAAGATTGCACCAGAGCACTCCGGGCTAAAAGAGCAAAACTCCATCTCAAAGAAAAAAAAATACATGTGAGAAAATGAAGGACAATTTGATCACAATGTTAGGATGTTAAAATTAAATGAGGATATAGAAACCATTGAATTCAGTCCCTATGTTTTACAAATAAAAAACATGAACACCAGATAGGAGAAATTATTTGCACAAGTCACGCAATGAGGTGTTAGGAGTGTTGAGATTATGCTCTCCATTTCCCACCTTTCAATAATGAGGTGAGCATACTGGGCTTTGGAGGCAGGCAGACCTGATTTGGAATCTTAGACCTCCACTTAATAGTTACGTGATATTTTATTTACTCATGTAAAATAAAAAATGTGATGTTTATCTCATAGGGTTATTGTGAAAATCAAATGAAATAGTTTATATAAATAGCTCAGTACAATGTTTAGGGCACAGAAAGTGCACGTAAAACATTAGGTTTCATATCTATTTTAATGTTCCACCCACTCTGTGTCTTTTATTTGCAGTTCAGTGATTGCATATCTTTCTAGTGCAATTTATCTTGCTCTTACATTTACGAGGCAAAACACAGCCATCCCAAATTATCCCTTTATATCATTTAATATGGTTCGGCTCTGTGTCCCCACCCAAATCTCATGCTGAATTATAACTCCCAGTGTTGGGGAAGGGGCCTGGTTGTAGATGACTGGATAATAGGGGTGGATTTCCACCTTGCTGTTCTTGTGCAAATGAGTGCGTTCTTAGGGGGTCTGTTGGTTTAAGTGTGCGGTGCTTTCCCCTTCACTTGCATTCTCCCCTGCGGCCATGTTAAGACATATTTGCCTCCCCTTTGCTCTTCTACCATGATTGTGAGTTTCCTGAGGCCTCCCAGCCATGCTTCCTGTACAGCCTGCGGAACGGTGAGTCTATTAAACCTCTTTTCTTTATAAATTACCCAGTCTCTTTGTAGCAGTGTGAGAATGAACTGATACACACTGTTCTGGTTTTCTTATGTTTTTCATGGCCTGGAAACTTTTATTCAATATAGTACTGGAAGTCCCAGCCAAATAGGCAAGAAAAAAAGTAAAATGATCCAATTGGAAAGGAAGAAGCAAAATTATCTCTATTTGCAGAACACATGATATAGAACACTCTAAAGATTCCACAAGAAGTCCTGTTAGAACCAGTAAATTCAGCAGAGTAGCAGGACACCATATCAACACACAAAAATTAGTTTCATTTCTATACACTAACAATGAACAATCTGAAAAAGAAACTAAAAAAATTTTATTTACAATAGCATCAAAAATATAATACTTAGGAATTAATTAAACTAAGGAGGCAAAAGACTTGTACAATAAAAAGTATAAAATTTTACTAAGAGAAATAAAGACATAAATGAAAACATATCTCATGTTCATTGACTGAAAGACAATGTTGTAATATTGCCAGAATGTCAAGACTGCCCTGTGGGCAGTTTTATATAGAATTAATGCAATACTGGTATAAATATCAGCAACATTTTTTTTTGCAGAGGTTAAAGTAAATCTATCCCCAAAATTATATAGAAACTTAAGGAACCCCCAAATCAGTATAATTTTGAAAAAAAAAAAGTGTAGGACTCTCACTTTCAGATTTCAAAACTTACTACAAAGCTATGGTAATCAAAACAATGTGGCACTGACATAAAAACAGATATAGATACCAATTGAATGGAATATACCAATAGAAAGCCCAGACATAAACACTCACATTTATGCTCAAATGATTTTTGGAAAAGGTGTCAAGAACATTCAAGGGGGAAAAGACAGTCTTTTCAACAAATGGTGCAGGGAAAACTGGATATTTACGTGTAAAAAACTAATTTTGATGCTTACCTAACATCATATATAAAATTAACTTGAAATGGATGACATACCTAAACATAAGAGCTGAAATATAAAAACATTTAGAAGAAAACATAGGGAAAAAGCTGTATGACTCTTCATTTGGCAATAATTTCTTGGATATGACTTCAAAGGCACATGCAACAATAACAAGTAGACAAACTACGCTTCATAACAACTAAACACCTTTTTTTTTTTTTTTTTTTGAGACGGAGTTTTGCTCTTGTTACCCAGGCTGGAGTGCAATAGCGCGATCTCGGCTCACCGCATCCTCCGCATCCCGGGTTCAGGCAATTCTGCTGCCCCAGCCTCCTGAGTCACTGGGATTACAGGCACGTGCCACCATGCCCAGCTAATTTTTTGTATTTTTAGTAGAGACGGGGTTTCACCATGTTGACCAGGATGGTCTCGATCTCTTGACCTCGTGATCCACCTGCCTTGGCCTCCCACAGTGCTGGGATTACAGGCTTGAGCCACCGTGCCCGGCCAACTAAACACCTTTTTGTATCAAAGGAAACATTCAACAGAGTAAAAAGGCAATCTATCTATTATAGACTTTGAGAAGCTGTTAGCAAATTATATAACTGTAAGGGGTTAATATTCACAATATATAGATAACTCCTAAAACTCAATCACAAAAAAAATCCAGACCTGATACAAATATGAGCAAAGAACTTGGATAGACATTTCTCCAAAAAAAAAAATACAAATGGCCAGTAAGCATATGAAAATATCCTCAACATCACTAATTTTAGGGAAATGCAAATCAAACCAATGAGATATCACCTTACACATTAGGATGAATACTATCACAAAACAAAACAAGTGTTGGTGAGGATGTGGAGAAATTTGAATCCCTGTGTGCTGTTGGAGGAAATGCAAAATTTTACAGTCACTATTGAAAACAGTATGGCAGTTTCTCAAAGACAAAAAAAATAGATTTACTGTATGATGTTGCAATTTCACTTCTGGACACATACTCAAAAGAATTGGGAATAGGTTCTCACAGAGATATTTGTACACCTATGCTCTATTGTAGAATTATTCACAATATTTAAGAAGTTGAAGCAACCTACATGTCCATCAGTGGGTGAATGGATAAGAAAATGTTACATACATATAATGGAATATTATTCAGCCTTAAGAAGGAAAGGAATTCTGACACATGCTACAACACGGATGAACCTTGAGGACATTATGCTAAGTGAAATAAGCCAGTCACAAAAAGACGAATACTGTATGATTCCATTTATAAGAGGCAACTAGAGTAATCAAAATCATAGAGACAGACAGTGGAATGGTGGTTACCAAGACTGAAGGTAGAGGACAGTGGGGAGTTACTGTTTAATGGGTATCAAGTTTTGGTTTTTCAAAATGAAAGGAGCTCTGTAGATGGATGCTGGTGATGGTTGCACACAGTGTTGATGTGTATAATATAATTGAACTAAACACCTAAAAATGGTTACAATACTACATTTTATGTAATATGTATTTTACCATCATAAAATACTAAGGGCCGCAGATGGAGGGTCCGTCTCCCCACTACTCTAAGTTATACTTCGTCTTACCCTTATGTTTAATTTTGTGACTTTAGTGGACTTTTTTTATATACTCCTTTAAAGAAAGATATCTACCTATGCTCTAGAGAATCCTTCATGTTACCTTTATGGGAATACTGGTTCCCAGAATTACATATATCCCCATAATTGTTGGGTACCATTAGCCTCCAACTATTGAATTTAGTCAGAGGGGAAGAAGAGCCGTCAAAAATGATCTTCAAGCGTATCAAGGATAAAGAACTGGAATCAAGAAACTTAAAGGCCTACTTAAAAGAATTTATATTTTCTGATCAACATTGAATGTCAATTAGTTGTTTGTTTCTTCCCCAAATCTCTTGTGTTTTCTGTTCTACAATCAATAAACTAAGACTTAGATTTCTTGATGAATATTACTGACACATCAACTCACTTTCACTTAGAATCCTGTTGTTTAATGGCTATATTTTAGTTAATTAAAAGTAGAAACTCTTTATGTACCTTTAAATTATTCTCAACATTGGACATGGTACCTAGCACATACTCAGTGTTCAATAACCATTTGTCATAGGAGCAAATGTTCTAACAGGACACATGTGATGGGTCCTGTTAATCTTTCTGATTTGGTTGAGGTATTTTAGGTATATATTATCCAATTTTTAAAAATCTACTTGGCAAGGTGAAAGATTTTTAAGGCCATCTACATATATTTGCATTCCACTGTTAAAAGAAAATCTTTAGACCAATTAAATTTAACAGAGTTTAATTGAGCAAAGAATGTTTGCAAATCAGGCAGCCTCTAGAACCAGAACATGTTCAGAGTGACTCCAGGGGTGCCACATGGTTGGATAACATTTACAGACAGAAAAGAAAAGGGATGTACATGTAATATAATTGAGGTACAGAAATAGATGAGTTGGTTAATCATCATTTGAACAGTTGGGTTACCTGTGGTTGACTAAACCTGGGCTGCCATGATTGGCTGAGAATCATCTACAAGAGTTAGTTTCAGGCTCTTATACATCAAGTTGGGTTTCAATTCATTATGTTTGGAGAAACTCTTAGTCTGAACTTAAAATAGGTAAGAAGGCTGCTTTAGGCAAAACTTAATATAACACCACCATGAAGAAAAAGATAATAAAATAAACTCTTATAACTCTTTTCCTGAGACTTAGATAGGTATTTGGGGTGCTTAGATTATCGTTTCACCTGTTTTCCAGTTCTGACTAATTTTTTGCATTTTTTATAGATTCAAATCCAAAAGAGAAGAATGCTTTTGCTTCCTTTTTTATTTTTTTATTTTTCATTTTGATTAGTTTCTCAAACAACTGGAAGACTAATGTGGACCACCCAGAGGAACAAGATCTGGAACCTACCAGCAGCTCATGATAGCATAAGGCCAATGATGGACTCTATAGATCTGAATTATTATTCCATCTCTGCCATTACGTGGCCATAATAATGAACAGGTTGTTTAACCTCCCTATATCTGTCTTTATTTACCATGGGTACTGTGAAGCTCAAAACAAATAATGCATTTTTAAAAATTTGCACTTTGAAAAATATAAAACATAATGCAAGTATAAAGCACTGTTGCAAAACAAATTTTATAAAGTAGAGTCTTACAAATTAAACAAAATCTTATGGGTCCTTATGACCACCCACATTGCCGTCTGCAGAAGAAAGGAGAAGTTCTTTGTTTTGTTTAATTTTGTTGTTGTATTCTTTGGCAAAAGAAACAACATGTCTCGCTGCTGGAGCCATAATGGAAGCAACAATTGTAGCAGCAGTCTCTGTTCAGCAATCAACTATATCTATAAAATATCTTACACCACCAGTGACCAATTGTTAAAAACTCACACTAAAAATTTATGTGCTTAGTTTTCCCATACTTACCTCAGATTGTCTGCTAAGCATATGGGATGGAAGAGCTGAGGATTTAAGTAAATAATTTGATGAAGCAGAGCTTTTAGAACAACTGCCCTCTTCTCCCATAATATGAAAGCCATGTTCTTATAATAATCTTCCATGAATTATCTCCCTAGAAAATTAATTTTGTGAAATAATGCTGGGTAGCAGATTTCCTCATTAGCCTTTCTAAGAATATTTGGAATAACAGATTTCTTAGGTTGACCTCTTTGGATTGCAAGATGTAAACCCAACTCAAACCAGGTTGACAAAATTTAATAACTCAGTGGAATTTAATAACTCAGTGATGAAGTTCAGGATTCATTTCGGCACTGGCCTATTCCGGTGACGTGATACTTCCACATAATTAATTTCACACTAGCAATGTGACATCACTGAACATGGAGATGGGAAGAGAGGTGCA